TTCTTTTTTTGTGGTGTCTTTGCCTGGTTTTGGTATTAAGGTGATGCTGGCCTCGTAGAATGAGTTTGGAAGTATTCCTTCTTCTTCTACTTTTTGGAAAAGTTTAAGGAGGATGAGTATTAGATCTTCACTACATGTTTGATTAAAGTCAGTGGTGCAGCCATCTGGTTCAGGTGTTTTGTTCTTTGGTAGTTTTTTAATTACCAGTTTCATTTTGTGCTAGTAATTGGTCTGTTCAGATTTTCTGTTCTTTCTGGGTTAGCCTTGGAGGGTTGCATTTTTCTAGAAAGTTGTCCATTTCTTGTAGATTATCCAGTTTGTTAGCATATAATTTTTCATGGTATTCTCTCATAATTCCTTGTATTTCTGTGGTTTCCGTAATGATTTTTCCTTTCTCATTTCTGATTCTGTTTATGTATGCAGGCTCTCTTTTTTTCTTGATTAGTCTGGCTAGGGGTTTATCCATTTTGTTTATTTTTCTCAAAGAATCAGCTTCTGCCTTCATTGATTCTTTGTATGGCTTTTTCTTCTCGATTTTCTTTATTTCTGCTCTAATCTTTATTATGTTCCTCCTCCTGCTGACTTTGGGCCTCATTTGTTCTTCTTTTCCTTGTGATCATTGTGAGTTTAGACTGTTCAAATGGGATTGTTCTTTCCTGAGGTAGGGTTGTATTGCAATGTACTTCCTCTTAGCACCGCCTTGTCTGTGTCCCACAGATTTTGCATTGTTGAATTATTGTTGTCATTTGTCTCCATATATTGCTTGATCTCTGTTTTTATTTGGTCATTGATGTGTTGGTTATATCAGAGCATGTTGTTAAGCCTCCACGTGGTGGTAGGCTTTTTCATTTTACTTGCATAATTTATTTCTAGCTTCATACCCTTGTGGTGTGAGAAGCTGCATTATTTTTGAGGGCTCGTCTGGGATAACTTTGGAGGTGAGTATCAGCATCCACGCCTGCCTTATCTTTCACTGTCCTTATAGAAGGAAGCCGTCTGTGGCACACAACATCGGGCGCTCATCAGCCACTTAAATGGGACTAGCCCGGCTGCCAACCTCAAAGTCTTGAGCGACAGGTTCCCCTGCGTCTCCCTCAGTGGATCCCCTGTCTCCCTTGGGAGCTGGGAAAGTCACCTGAGTGGAGGCCAGGATTCCCCTTCAGAGGCATCTCCTCGGATGCGAGGGACTGAGGAAGGCCATGGGCACCTGCGAGAGTCTAGGCTGAGGCTACACTTCAGCAGCTTCTCAAAGGCCCACGTGTCTGGAATCAGACCCCAACAGCCCAACTGGGTATCCATGAGGAGTGACTCTCTTTCACTTCCAGTCTGGTTCTTCAGGCTGCCCTGGCCTCTGAGTGAGGCAGGGGGCGTCCCAAACTCTTCTAACTTCATCAACGTCACAGAACCCAATGCTCACCACCACAAGGTAGGAGATCTACGCTTCGCTCTTATTCCTGACTAAATGCTGTACTTTTTATCTCATAAAAATGTGTCTGGTTCGTTAAAGAATGCTGTTGGTATTTTGATGGGGATTGCATTGAATCTATAGATTGCTTTAGGCAGGATGGCCATTTTGATAATATTAATTCCTCCTAGCCAGGAGCATGGGATGAGTTTCCATTTGTTAGTGTCCTCTTTAATTTCTGTTAAGAGTGTCTTGTAGTTTTCAGGGTATGGTAGGTCTTTCAGTTCCTTGGTTAGGTTTATTCCTAGGTATTTTATTCTTGTTGATGCAATTGTGAATGGAATTGTTTTCCTGATTTCTCTTTCTGCTAGTTCATCGTTAGTGTATAGGAAAGCAACAGGTTTCTGTGTATTAATTGTGTATCCTGCAACTCTGCTGAATTCAGATATCAGTTCTAGTAGTTTTGGAGTGGAGTCTTTAGGGTTTTTTAATGTACAGTATCATGTCATCTGCACATGGTGATGGTTTGACTTGTTCTTTACCAATCTGGAGGCCTTGTATTTCTTTGTTTTGTCTGATTGCTGTGGCTAGGATCTCCAGTACTATGTTGAATAACAGTGGGGAGAGTGGGCATCCCTGTCTTGTTTCTGATCTTAGAGGAAAAGCTTTCAGCTTCTCGCTGTTAAGTATGATGTCAGCTGTGGGCTTGTCATATACGGCCTTTATTATGTTGAGGTACTTGCCCTCTATACCCATTTTGTTGAGAGTTTTTATCATGAGTGGATGTTGAAGTTTGTTGAATGCCTCTTTTGGCATCTGTGGAGATGATCGTGTGGTTTTTGTCCTCCTTTTTGCTGATGTGGTGGATGATGTTGATGGATTTTCTAATACTGTACCATCCTTGCATCCCTGGAATAAATCCTACTTGATCATGATGGATGATCTTTTTGATGTATTTTTTAATTTGGTGTGCTAATATTTTGTTGAGTATTTTTGCATCTACATTTGTCAGCGATATTGGACTGTAATTTTCTTTTTTTGTGGTGTCTTTGCCTAGTTTTGGTATGAAGGTGACACTGGCCTCATAGAATGAGTTTGGAAGTATTCCTTCCTCTTCTACTTTTTGGAAAAGTTTAAGGAGGATGAGTATTAGATCTTCACTAAATGTTTGATTAAAGTCAGCGGTGAATCCATCTGGTTCAGGTGTTTTGTCCTGTGCAGTAGTCAGGCTGAAAGCTGAGTCCAACATGTAAATGGTTCTATTCTATTGACCTACCTCCCATAGAGGCAGCCATCCTGGGGCTATGGCATTTCCCTACCTGTAGCCCCAGGGAAGCGAAACAGGCTTGTGACTCTGACCAAAGCTCTGGCAGCGAGAGGTCACACAGACCCCACACCTATCGGACAGGCAGGGGGCTCTCAAGGAATGATCCCGAGTGTACTATGCTAAAGCTTGTGCAGAGAAAACTAGGATCTAGACGAAACTCCCAAAAGGTATAAAGTAGGAGCACACTGGTAAGGTCCCGCTAAATCCGGAGCTCTGAGGCGACTCTTGCTTACTGGGAAGGCAAGAGGGGAATCAAGGCAAGGTGCAGGCCATGGTGGTAAGGAGTGGTGAAATCCAGTATGCCTGACAGAGGAGGTGATTGACCACTGTCACCCAGGAATAGAAGTGCCCATCTTCTAAGGCCCTCTCACTGACCACTGATGGAGACCTACCTGCACCCTTTACTGCACCCCCTTCTCAGCACGAAGCAACCAGAGCGGTCATCATCCCCCCTCCCTCGCAGCAGCTAGGGTCTCTATCTGTAGATGTGGGGAATGAGACAGGGACCATGGGTGTAGTCAGAGTAGGATGAGGGCCTCCAGAAAAAGACCTGTACCAGAACTCCGTATTAAACAATTAAACTACGTCAGAGTCACATTAATTCTCTAAAATATCAAACTAGATATATAAACATTCTTCAGTGAAGATTAGTCAAAACTAAAAAGCAAGGAGTAACTTGGCCTGGAATGTTTGAATATCCCCCAGATAAGAAAATACCTCAACATAGCCCATGTCTTCATTGTGTCAATTAGATGAGGCTGTTGTAAAGTTTACTTTAGCAGCCAAAAGGCCGGGCTTATCTTTAACTTTGCCCAGATGCTGCTTTTCCTCCTTCATCCCCTAATCAAGTAATGTATAACCTGGGCAATGAATATGGCAAGTAATCCCAGTCACAGAGAACATAGTCAAAGGCAGGAAGGATCCCATCTTAAAGATAAGATTGCATTTTAACCCTCAGGAAGTTAGGAAGTAAGATTCTTGACTTACCCTTTAGCCAACAGACAATAACTCAGCCCACCTTGGGTTCTGGGCAGGCGGCCTTGTTTGTTTTGCTCCCAGACCAAGATGCCAGTGTATCAGGGAGAAACCAGAGCAGTAAATTTCTTTTGTGAAGTTAATTTCAAATATTCAGGGACCGCTTAAGAAGTCCACAGCCCTAAGCCTGTATCCAGTTCCCAAAAAACCCTCAACTGCCTATAAAACCCCTAGGCAACACACAACTCTGGGCTCCCTTGTCCCCTCCTGGCGTGAGCCAGCAGCTCTGTCCTCTCACTGTATCTCTCAGTAAAAGCCTCTCCCTGGCTCTCCTACCTTGGGTGTTTGCTAAATTCATTGTTTGACTCTGCAAACAAGAACCCCACCATCTATTCCATGGTAGGGTAGGGATGGTGACTGCTCTCTTGTTGCACAGTCCTTTTTGATTTAAAGAATGTCAGCCTGACTTCTGGTTAGTTACTGAAGTTACCTTAAAACCTTTTTCATAGTTGAGTAAAAATTTCAGTGTCTGTGTTTGTGGGCAGTAGCATGAGAAAAGGGAATGAATGAAGATGGGTGAGGGGGTTATGCAGCCAAGGGTAGTATCTTACTTGCTAAAGGCTGAAAGACGTGTGGGACTGATGTGACCATGTCTTAGGAGATGTTTTGTTTGGAAATTACAACATAGATGCCTTAATTGGAACTCATAACATTATTTTACATATGGTTTTGTGGCCAATGCTTTGTCAGCTGTAGCAGGACAGGTGGATGCTGTTTTTTGGATGATACTTATTTTTTTTGCAGCTGACATTTAAAGAACTAAACAATTGAACACTGGAAAGGAGACATTTAAAATGTTTGTATTGACAAAGATTAAAGTTCAATTACTGAAAGGCTATCTTGTTGGCAGTAGACACAAATATCGCTAGATATCATGCACTGTACAGGGCATCTTTCAGTGGATGTATAAAGTAGGGATGAGGGGGAAAACACAGAATGGTAAGTTAGAATCCCTAATAGGCCAGAAGCCATCTTCCTGTTTTTGTGCTCTAATGTCTTCATCCAAGTTCTTCAACTGCAATTCAGCATTGCTTTCTGACAGAACAAATGTCAGTGTTTGCTTGGAATTTCTTTGGGGAGCCTGAATTATTTGCATTTTTCTAGGAACAGTCTGCCCTTGAAAACTACCAAGTGCCCTGGCATGATGGGAATTTACTCGGCCAGTTTTTTTGTCTATGTGTGTCATAATTTGGGGGCTTTGTGGAATCCTCTTGGAAAGACAGTATGAACCTCAGGTGATTGGAGAGAGCCCAGGAGTTTGTAGTTGTCCTGAGGAGCAAGGAGTGAACACAGAAGAGATTTCAGCTCTCTGCAGTTGAAGAGTACCTTGGCCTTTATGGTAATGGCTTGCAGAGACTTGCCCTACCCCCCCGTACAGGACCTCCCTTGGGACAGATAACCACCTTTTTCTTGGTTCCTACAAAAATTCCGAAGTTGCTGTGGTTGTTCCTGGGCTGGGAAACAGAAGACCAGATGAACTTTAAAAAGTGTTTGTTTTGGTGACTTAAGGGTCAAAGGCTTGTACCCCAGAGGGTGTGCCTATGCAGATGTACTGAATGTGGGAGAATTCTCCCCGTTTGCTGATTCCTGATGTGGACCAACAGAGCTCAAGTCAGTGAGCGGCACAGAAAGTCTTGCAGAAAATGACTGCTTGCTATTTGTGATCGTCTAAGGAACATGTGAAACATGAAAATGACTTTTTGTACATCCATGATTTCGTATGATTCAACCTTTCTCCCACTGGCATCCCAGATTACTTCACTCCGTCTACCTTTTCATTGACCTGCGGGCTGAGCGCTGCCAATACTGGGTCTGGGGTGGAGTCATTCAGGCCACTTGGAGGACATTTGGGCCGCCGCCTTGTTTCTTTTTTTTTGAACAATTTATTTTCATATAGCTTTGTTGATATAAGCTTAAAAAAAGCAAACTAGTTTTGATATTAATTCAAATAAAATTAGAAAGCTATATATGTAACCACTTTCCTGTTTATTATTTAGTGACGTTTAACCTTAATGCATTACTTAAATAAGGACATAAATCCACCAGGTGCCCTTCTTTCAGGCTACGGT